GGGGTGAACGAAATCAAGTCAATTCAGACACAGGTTTTGTGCACAAAACGAGATCGTTTTCTGATCAGTTGTTTTTTTGCCTTTCATTACTTACCGTTTCTCTGCGTGCCCGCGAAAAATGCTCGTGAGAGAACAAACGGCCTCTCCCTACCCCCGGAGCGGTCAATCTGGCCCTGCGCTGTAGCCATGTGCTGGTAGAAGCCGTAGACATTATGAATATCGCGGTGTTCCCAGTCCCCGTGGTGTAGCGCGTCCTTGTGCATGGTTATTTCTGGGCCATGGAAAACGGATGGCTGATGTGGAAAGAAAGAAGATGCAAGAATGGTAAATGACAAAATAGAATGCAGTTCTTGTTGAAAATGCTATTCCCGCATTCTTGATATTCAAAAACCTGCTATGTTTCTGACCTTATAAGAAAAAAGATGGCGGCTGCACATTTTACCACAATACCTTGCGAACTAGACACAGGGAGAGCCATATTTAGGCAAAATATTTGTCCCTGTGCTAATGACGTTGTGTATGCTAGGTTATTTGAAGTTTTTAGAGCTTTCGGTCTGTTTTTATGAGCGCTTTTTAAAGAATTGTCCTTTTTTTTCCGCTATGAATTATGGATATATATACCGATCGCCAACACTTTATCCTGCGGAGCCCTGGTTTTACAGGATGACGCAAACAGCTTTCTTTTCGACAATGAACGCACGCTTACAATTTAACACCCACCTCATTCATGTCATTCCACGTAAACAGGGTTTCCGTTGAGCCCTAAGGAAATATCAACAGCTATCAGCACGACTAACAGGTAGAGCTGCTTAAAGCTGTGGCAATATGCATCAATTTTTTTTTCAGAATATTTTCTCACAAAATCAACATGAGATAAAGCCTTTTCGTGTTAAACCTCAAGACACTGAACCAGAGAACGTTAAGTAATTCAAGTACCTGATATTCGTTTAAAGCAAACTTGCCAGCCCACCATTTGCGAATCTCTGGATTGATGAAATCGATCCAAGATGATGTGCCTAAGAAAGAGAGAAAGTAGAATCGATGTTCATAGCCATGCATACTTCGTAGTTGATGTGATACTTCATGCAACAGAAACTTGGGATAAGCGCTGTCATGAAATCTGCAAGACTAGCTTACAGGGGCCCGTTTCTCGAAAGCCCCGGAAACTTTTCGGGTCCGCCAAGCCACTTTTTAATTAATCTGTATCTAAAAACAGAGAGGCGTATACGCCTGAAACTTCTTTCATGAAGAGAACCTCCGTTCATATTAAGAGTGTTGGATAAAACCGTTCTGTAATCACACGGTTTGATATTTTGCTACGACTTTCCGGGTGCAAAAACTTTTCGGGACCTTCAAGAAACGGGCCCCTGGAGTCTAATCAATCTCGCACCTGGCGTCTTCACTTCTTACTGTACAAACTTGTCGAAAAAAAAAAAAAAAGAAGACTCTCGCGAGTTCTGTTAAAGGATCGATTTCGATTGGTTTTAAAAGTGAAACTGGCAAGAAGTAAAGCATCAGGGACTGTACTGAGCTGTGCAATTCAATCGGATGTCCGATATTTCTGGACTTCGGATCGGAATTTTCCGAGTTCACTCACTCCTACAACCGCTGGTGAAGGGGAACGAGGACTCAAAGATACAAGAGCCGAGTTTGATGCACTACCGTTCACAGTAACTTGTGTAAAACTCCACTCTACATGTACATGTAGTTTTTTTTACACGTGTATACCTGGCCAGCACCAATTCTCGTATTCACCACCATCTTTGTTCTTCACGTAATATCCCAGTCTGGTTGCTTCCTACGATATTCAAACAGAAACATGAAGTTACAAGTAACGCCAAAATAAATGATGCATAACCACAAATAAAAAGAACACAATTTTACAACGTTAAATGAAGTACTGCCTGACTGACTGACGGACTGACTGATTGACTGACTGACTGACGGACTGACGGACCGACTGACAGACTGACTGACCGACTGACGGATTGACTGGACTGACTGACTGATTGATTGATTGACTGATGAATTCACAATCAACTTACCTCGTGAATGTGATATCCACCTTCACGTTTGATGTGAGGATCAATAATGGTAACCATCTAGAAAAAATATAAAGAATGAAAACAAAATCAGATCGACAGCTTTAACCCTCATCAAAGCAAGCAAACATCCACCAAGGTGTTTCTAAACCCCCGATAATGTGTCGAAGCCTGTTCACAATATTCTTTTTACCTTTCGACCTTTTGCTGCCAGGTTTTTCTGCATCTGATCAGGAGTGGGAAATTTAAGCTTGTCCCAAGTCATATACCTGGATTGAATTCAATAACAAATTAGTTTCTCAATCATTTAGCAGCTGTGTTAACATGGTAATGGTTCTAGTAGATCAGTCCGCTTCACAGTTACATACTTCTTGCCATCAGTATGTTCAATGTCCAACCACAACACATCATATGGGATGTCGTGTTCATCAAAACCGTTGTCCACACTGAAACAAAATAAAATAAAAGAGACAACTCAGCTGTCAAAAGTTATGACCGATTCAGAAGGTACACTTAATTTTATTACTTAAGATAACAAGTTATGTCTGTTACACGTAGTTTAGCGCATGAGAACCACAAGTAGATGAGTCAGTTGGCATTATGACTGCAGATTTACTGCACTCCCTAAAATCAGGGGTTTCATTAAGGACCGGGCACCACCTGTGAGGATGATTTTGCCCACCTGGTTTGACTATTTAGGGAAAGTTTTCTTATAGCGAAGTTCAAATCGAAAAGGTTTGCCTGCCTGTGAAAATCATTTGCCCTCTTGCTGATTTCAAACGTTAATGAAACCCCTGTAAAACTAAAATGAGAAATAAAAAAAAAAAAACTGCCACGAAAACTCACTTTTTTACATCATCCTCATCATTGTAATTCCATCGGCTCTGATGATAAGCAATTCCAAACATCTGTTGGAACAACAAACATGGTCACATGTACACTGTAGAGTTCTAACCAATGAATACCATCATTCAATGCCTTGCTTGATAATCGCCAACTGAATATTTCACCTATACTTTACTGTTTTGCCAGATTTAGCGTTAAATTTTCAGAACTGACATTAAAATAACTGTATGGACACAAGTAAGGAGAAATGGTATTTTGAATCAAACTCACAGGTGGCAGTGCGGTTGTCCCAGTAAAGGAAGCATACTCGCGGAACACATCATGAGGCTTTGGACCCAGCATGACAAACACGTCGATGATGCCACTCTCCGAGATCCAGTGGGTGTCAACCTGGGGGACTTCTTCACTTCCCTTGAAAAATGACATCAGTGAGTTTAACATGGACTGAAAAACAAAAACAGTGGAATACAAAAGGAGAGCTAAGCTTCCAGCTGACCACTGAGAGTATTTATTTTTATTTTTTAATTAATTATAATATTAAACAAGGGAACCCAACTAGCCATGGCGGTTTTCAGTGGGCCCTTGAATTATTTCTGTATTCTGAATTATTTTAGAGTCATGTCCAAAGCTCCACGGAAATTTTGATTACATCGTTGTGCATGTAGTTTTCAGACATCAAGCCATGCCTAACTGAGAAGGTTGCTGAAAGAAAATTATCTGGGCAGTTTGATTTATCAAATAAGTTTAGTTTGTTAAACATCAAAATAGACACCTCTTTTCTTTCCAAACAGAAGTTAAAATAGAAGGTCATCTCAAAAGTCAGCTTTGAAAATTAAAGTGCTGTTTCTGCCAAGAATGTTCAACAGTTTTAGAGCATTTGACAAAACTTCAAGTTTTTAAATAATAATATTATAGACTTATCAGCTAAACAATCATTTTAAACAACTAAAAACATGTTAGAAAAATAAAAATAAATGTTGCTAACAATCCTCACTAAAATTAATAAATAATATTGCACTGATCCAGGTTTTCATTAGTACATTATTTATGGTTAATCAACAGTGTTTTTATGGTTAGGGTTAGACTTGAACTTTTAGGTTTAATTTTCACTCACTGTAAATGGTAAATTAATTTGATTAAAAGTGGCTTATTCAATATTTCAACATGTGTTAGCCTTATTAGTTATATTTACTCTACATTGTATTTTGAAAGATTTTACATTTTATTTACTTCACATTCATCCCAACTCACATAAAATTAGCAGACACACTTCAATCTTGATCAACATTCTTAATATTTATTTTTTTAATTTTTAATTTTAATTGACATATCAATTCATTTCAAACTCTCAAATATGGCAGCTTCATTTGCACCTCCTTATCACTTTGTTCCCTCATTTGTTCCAGGAGGGAGGGGGCATGTCATTGGCATAGCTAGGGAAGGGACCAAGGGGCTTGTGCTGCCCCCCTTTGGTTTTCAACTTCATGTTCCAAACCCCCTCTATCATGCAAAAATGAACTATTTAACTTTGCCTCCATCCCTCAGCTTAGCACTTCCAACCACTGCCACCTCACCTCCCCCTCCCCCCCCCCCCACCTCTCCTCAGTACTTCTGGATCCGCTACTACAGATGGCAGATCTTGTTACTAGATTCTCCTAACCATAAAACAGAAGGGGTATATTTTCAAGGTTTGAGGGCAACTTACATGACAGTTTCAAGGCAGAATGAAAGGGAAAAAAAGTAAAATCAGATCAGACTGCAAAATCTACCTTTCTTGCACTAGATGAGGAAATGTCCACCCATGTTTCAGCCGCATTCATCCAAAACACACCAACCGTACGTGCAGCACTATGAGGTTGCAAATCATAATTATTACAAGAAATAAAAGTGAAGTAAAAATACATACATATTTAAGGAGAAAGCTGGTAGATAAAATTCAGTCTATTTAATGGAGTTGTAAGTTTTATCCAGGCAAAATGGTATTCCAAAGTTTGTTATATGGCACAGGATGCAAAAGCTAAGGACCAATAAAAATGTAGCAAAGCTAACCTATACAAAAGTTAGTTACCTGTACTTATATGTGTCCTAGCTACTGTAACCATACAATATTTTGATGTTTTGACAAATAATAGATCTGCAGACACTTAAATGCACTTTTTGCAAAAGCTACATGTAAGCCATGACCATTATTGCTAACTGTGAGCTGTGGTAGCTAGTGATATATATAGAAAGCTTTCAGGTGCTTCCATTAATTTGAAGTCTGCACTGCCTTGAAAAGCTAGTGCATAATAATTCACTTTGCTCTAAGCTGCCCAAATTGGTACGTTCGTAAAGCGCAGCAAAATTGTCCTCTCACAGTTTGCACAATATAATCATTAAAAATAACACTGGAAAGAAATTCCCTGACTGACTGCTGGTGCTCACCTGTGAGCTATCATGACTGGAATGCTACCATAAAGTGCCATTCTGGATTCCAGCTCATACTCAAACACATCTAGGTTGTATAAGCGGTATGGCTCTGAACCACTGAAGAATAAGAATTAGTACATGTATGTTACAGTAAGTAGAAGTACCTGTAATTTATACTTCTGTGATATTCCACCTGGCTTCCCTGATAGTTTTGTCTCGTGACTCTAAATACCTCGTACTAACCAAGTTCAAAGACCGTACTGTAAGTTACAGACCACAAAGTGTGCAGGCCATAAATCGAAGGGAAAAACAAGGATCTGTAACTTACAGCACAGACTGAGAACACGAGGTTAGTAAGATATTATATTTAATATATATTATATCTCTACTGTGTGTCTGATGGGTTCAGGAATGATTTCTATTCACGTGAAACGGCTTGAAATTTCTGATGCACCTCGAAAGCAAAATGAGTCAACTTGAAATCGTTGTTAAGTGACTCTTACATAGTTAGCAGGTTTTAATTTTACACAATTTCAGAAGTAAAAGAAAGTTTTAAACTATTACTTGCTAAAAAAGTTAAGAGCACTTTGCGATAAATCACGAAACATTTTGGCAAGAAAAACAGCCGTAAATTTCATCAGGCTGTACAATAGAATTTTTTTTCGCTTAATCGACCAATCACAGTGTGCGTACTAACTGAGAGATATAATAAGCTTTTTATTTTCTCTAGACTGCAGGCAGTCTGTTTTTTCTCTCAGAATTCAGTAGGGGTTATGAGGCGAGATGTTTTGGCTAAAGGGGAATGGGATGAGACATGAGCGTGCCCCTTCTTCCCTACTCGGCCATACCACCCTTTTCCCGCCTTCTTCCCTATGCGGCCAATGCCATACCGCTCTTTTGCATTCGCGATGACAAAACACTCGTCCTAGTGACCCTTAGAGAAAAAACCAGCTGCCAGCAGACTAATTTTCTCAGAAATT